CAAAGAGAGTACATCAAGTACGGCCAGAATCCTTTGCCCATTTATACTGCTGTCCGCCACGAGATACCTGGGCTTCCAGCTGAGGCAGCCGGCTCTCTTGCAGCCCGGCAAAAGGCAGCTCGCGAGGCATGGTTCCAGTGGTTCGAATTTACACCTTATGAATTTTTTTGTGAAGAGTTCAATGCTGGAATCCCGACCTGGGCCGTTGGCCGGAAATTCAACAATGGGAAGGACGTTCCGCCAGAGCATGGCTTCCACCTCCCCGAAATCAGGATGCCGCTGCTGATGGGAATATTTGGCAGTGCGTTTTGTGCCACGCTGAACCACTATTATCGAGAAATCAAGCCTCTTGTCAGAAGTATGGCTGGTATGGGTGCTGTCGATGACCTGATATCCGGGAAGAGTGAGGATCTGAGCAAGGTACACCCTATAGACCCTGCTACGATACACAACTTTGCCTACGGTATGCAAGGAAAACTGCCCAAATCAACACCAGCAAGCATCTATGAAAATGAGTATATTCAGTTAATGGATGCCGGAATGTCCAACAATCTCCCAATTTATCCGTTGCTTCGCCCTGGGCGAAATGTGGATGTCCTGGTTACATTCGATGCGTCTGCTGACGTGAAAATTGACAATTGGCTCTCCGTAGCTGACGGATATGCTCGAAAACGAGGAATCAAAGGATGGCCCGTGGGAGTGGGATGGCCCAAACCTGGGGAGTCCGTCTCTCAAACAGTACAAGAATTAGAAGAGGCATCGGCGGGCACAACTCAGGAAGCCAACAAAAGACTACAAGAAGCAAAGGTACAACAAAGTCATATGCGAGAGGAGGCCGCTGGGGAGGGAAATGGCATGAAAAACCCCAACGACGTCACAAAATTCGATCCAGGAAACGAAGACGCCGGTGACTTGGGTTACTGCACAGTTTGGGTCGGCTCAACCGAGGAGCGAAAGTCCAATGACCCTCCTTCAAAATCCAAAGCCGTATCTGGGGATGATAAATGGCAGCTCATGCATCCCAAAGCTGGAATTGCCGTCATTTACCTCCCGTTCCTTTCAAACGATAAAGTGCCCGACGTGTCCCCAGGCACTTCGGATTTCCTCAGCACATGGAATTTCGTCTACACACCGGAGCAGATTGACGGCGTAGTACGCCTAGCGCGTGCAAACTACGATGAGGGGAAGGAGCAGATCCGTTCAACAATAAGGGCAGTGTATGAACGAAAGAAGAAGCTTCGTGAAGAGGGCGAGAAGAAACGGAGAGATGACCGATATCACTCCATAACCCGACGGCGACTCCGAGGAGACGGCGATCAATTTAGTTAGAGATGAAGCCAGAGATTAGCGAGAAGTTCATATGCCTAATATATAATATATATGGATATATTATAACTAAATGCTGATACGTAGAGTCGTTGTTTTACAATGTATTTTTACAGATAAAATAGCAGCCAAGTCCCAGAGAACCAACCCGTCATCTACTTGTAGACTGCGCCCCTAAACCTCGACTCAATATATGCGTTAAATACACTCGTACACTGTGGTTCTATCATGAGATTGGTGACCATGGATGTCCTAGCTACATGAGCTCAGGTTTCTTTTTTCTTTTAGATTACCTCTCCAATATCAATGTGAGGTGCCTTCCACGGCTTTGCGCCCTCCTCCATCATGTCACTCGGCACACGTACTTTGTTGCCGGGGCTATACAGGTACCATGACTTTAGCGCATTCATGCACGCCTTCCGTCTGGCGAAATCTAAGCTGGGGGCATTGCCCTCTCCGAGCTTCTCCTTGCCGCTGTAGATGCCCACCACATACACGGGAGTACGAGAATGTCGACCAGTCTCACTCTCGAGGCGAGCCAGGGGGGGCTCGAAGCCTTCACGGGCGCACAGCATGGCCAGCTCGCGAGTCGGCAGCTGGAACTCGAACAGGGACGACAGGTCGACCTGTCTTGAGAGGATGTGGGACTCGACGAAGTCCTTGGCGGCCTCGCGGCCGGAGTGGCTGTAGATGGCGCCGACGACGGCCTGGACGAACGACGAGAAGGATGTGTCCTGGTGGTGCTGGTGCGCGTCCTTGACGGAGCCCGCGTCGACGGCGTCCCCGAAGTCGTTGTCCAGGACGACGCGGCTGCTCATGCCGCGGCGGTAGAAGCTGTGCTTGCGGTCGGTCTCGGCGCGGACGTAGCCTCCCCACCGGGTGCCCACGAGGGCGCTGGAGTTGGAGGCCCATTGGAGCAGGCCCGGGTCGACCTCCTCGCCGGGGGCGGCGGCGGCCTCGACGCCCCAGCGGCGGGAGATTTGGGCGAGCGACTCGGGGCCGGAGAAGGCTCTGAGGGCTTCGTAGTGGATGGCCATGGGGAGGCGGGGCCACTTGCAGGTGATGTACTCGGCGACGTGGTAGTTGATGATGGTGCTGCCCAGGAAGGCGAGGTTTGCGTTGTTGAAGCCGGGGTTGGGGTCGGCCGAAGGCGTGACGAGGGCTCGTGCCAGAGTCTGGAGTGGGATCTTCTTGGAGAGGGATAGTCGGGAGTGTAGGGCGGCGAGCTTGGCTGAATGTAGGGCCCTTTCGGGAAGAGGAGACGGCAGTTTCCTGGGTAAGGTCTCCCCCTCTTCGGGGATCTGTTCAATTAGGTCCTCAGCGGCGGGTGCTGGGACTGTCGATTGGCAGCGGACGGTGCTGGCTAGGAAATTTTTCCTTGGGATGGTGGCGGGACAGGAGCGGGCGTGGAGGAGCTGCCCACCCCATCGTGAGGGCCGGATACCCTTCATAGGGGGCCAATTAGTCGGCAGAGCCTCGTGGATGCGCCCCTTGGAAGCCCCTCAGGAAAAGGGCGTGGATGTGAGCGAGGCAGGCGTGCCGATGCGAGGTGGGTGGGTTGTCGCTGGGAGGCTCTTCGTCGACTTGAAATCACCGGTAGTGGATGGCCCAGAAAAAGTTCTGCGCTCAAACAGCTGTGACAAGCCTGGGCCAGTGTTCGGGGTCGTGTGAGTGAGCGTCCGGGGGGTGGGCGTAGGGGAGCTAGCGGGCGGAAAATCAACCGGGCCGGGCGGTTTCGCCAGACCACTCACGTCGCGGGCATTTGGAAGCTCGCTATCAACCTCCTTCTGGCTCGAGGAACATCGTCAAACAACGCAATTGAGCGGCCAGTACCCTTTCCCGAACATCCTCGAACAAGATATCACAATGGTAGGTGGATCTCAGTGCGGAAGAATGAGAATTGGGCTAACTTTGGTTCAGGGTGGTGGCGCAAAGGTCCCGTGAGTTCTATCCCTCGACCGATACCTGGAGTCTCGACGATGAAATCATTTCTAACAGCCCTCGAAACAATCAGTTACCCCAAGCACGTTTGGTCGCCTGCCGGTGGTTGGTATGCCCAGCCTGCCAACTGGAAGGCCAACACCATCATTGCCGGTGCAACCATCGCTGCCATTGTTGCCGTCACCTGGAAGTTCAGCGCTGAGAGGGAGACATGGGCACACAAGCCGGAACCCTGGGAATGGCACCCTAGCCGATAGTATGTTAAATTTTTGTCGAGTGCTGCCGAGCTTCGGAGTGGATGGGGAGCAGAACTTGTCTTGCTAACAATATATGCCCTAGTTGGTCGAAACAGCTGAAGCAATACGATGAGGAGGATCGCAAGGCTGCGCAGGAAAAGCAATAGAGTTTATAAAGTGGCAGAATACTGTGTACAACAATCAGAATTTCACTTGCGTCTATTGTCAATATCCAATTGCAACATAATTCACCAAGTACATGGAAGAACAACTCTGACAGCCCTGGAGCATGAGCGGTTAAGACGCAAATACTGTCACAGATACGAATGGGGAGCCATACCATCACATCTATGTCTAGGAACCCGTCAGGAAGATTTCGTTCGCTTATCAGCATCAGTGGTGCTTTCGCCCCATGATGGCGTTGTGCGACCCTATTTCTCCTGGTATCTAACGCTGCGTAAAACCCCCGCCATTGAGGCATTCATCACATCTTCAGGTGCCCACTCCATTTTCGAGTGTATTCATAGTCAGGCTAATAGTGCGTCAAAGGCAATACGACATAAACCAGTGGGAAATTCTTGAGAGGTTCTGTCGGGTGAGAGGAATTCCGAACAGAAGCTAAAGCATTCATTGGTCCATCTTTGATGCTCACACGTGCCGTGGCGACCGCCTCAATCCATGGGTTACTTGCCTTTATTCCGTCATTGGCAACGTGGGGCGTTGCAATTCTTTGGATCAATTACCGACAGACCACTCAAGGAGGTGGCGAGGGCTCAGAGAGGGCAGAAGGACGCTGGGATAAAGACTCCGTGGAGGCTCTGTCGGTGATCTATATCTGATTCTCGTGATGTAGCCGCGCAAATCCATGCACTCAACGCCTTTAGCCACGAGTGTATAGCCATGCGACGACAGACACAACTTGAAGAGCGACGTGCAGTCCCAATAAAAGAGGTGGCATGCAATCTGCATCCATCCCCACAGCCAATTAGCAGTTATTGACATGTCAGGCGAAGCAGATACGACAACTGCCGTGGACAAGCCGTCCAGGGAGCAACTTGCAGGGTTTGGTGTTTGGGAATGATTGTCATCTGCGTCGTCGTCATCGCTACTGCCGCTATCCGGCTGCTGTGTCTCTCTATCAGATGTTTGCTGTCAGATGTATGTGACACTATACCCTCTTTCGGAGACCCTGTACACTGGTGTAGGTACGCGCGCGTCTGATAGGCGTTCTATGGGCAAAACCTGTCTGCACCTATCAGAGAGACATTGGATGCTTCATGCGGGGGGCCAACCAGCAGCAGCTCACTCGTCAAGGTCCCGAGCAATCAACCAACCAACAACTGAGGTGTGACAAAGTTCCTTTAGGTATAAGTACGACATTATCTTTCTCCCTTTTTTCCATGTATTTCGCAACCGAAACCAGCGGAATAGGGTTCGAACGCTCGAGAACATAAAGAACCTTCCTCATCCTCCTCTGCGTGCACGTCAACCTTCGCCATGTCCAGCTCCGTTGCGGGCAAATCATGTACCATTTGTGAGACACCAGGATCTCGCGGCTGTGCTCGGTGCAAATCATCTTCGTATTGCTCTACGGATTGCCAGCTCGATGACTGGCCCGTCCACAAGCTCCTCTGCGCATCATTCTCCAAATTCGACGTATCAGCTCGTCCATCGGAAACCCATTTCAGGAGCATTGTCTTCCCTCAAGACCAATCCAGGCCAGAGATTCAATGGCTCCATTGTCCATGGGTCGATGATGAGGGTGAGGGCGTCAAGTGGCAGGATCCCGACGTGACCCCCTTCATGGGCTCCGGTTCGATGAATACGTACACCCTAATTCGGACGGACGCTCTTCTGCAAAAGCGGCTTCCTGATGTTATTGATATTTGCTATCGCGACAGGTTCTTGGTTGATGGTTCCTTGCCAAACAAGAGCACTGCAGCTATCCTTGCCACGATACCGTACGGGTCTCATGAATGGCGAGGACCTATTGTCGCTGTGGGCCGAAAAGGACAAAGCATGGACCCTGACAGCTGCCGAGACCTTGGTATGAACGATTTCCGGTACATTGCCGATTATTTGATCGCATATGGTCGATGGTCGTTGGATCTCAATACCCCTGGGAAGCCTCATCAGGAGGTCGTCAAGGGCGTCAGGATCAACTGCGTCGGGGATCGCAAAGTCTTTGGCAAGCCACTCTATGAGCCTGTTGATGTTACCCCGACGGACTCAGTCTTCAACCGGCACTGTAACGATACATCTGATATCGCAGACCGCATCGGCCTCCCTATCCTCACGCGCCAGTGCCCGCCAAGTCTCCGATGGATGAGAACAAAGGGACAGTATGATTTCGGCGGCGAGAGCCCGGACACCAACCAAGACGCCACCTTCCTCCACCTATGCTGTGATCCAAAGGCAGACAAGTTCCCGGCAGGTCCTGGCTGGTCTATGGCAGGCTTCAAGTGGCAGCAGTCAGTCGGCAGTGTCATTGTCGTACGCCGTGACCAGAAGCCCCTGGATCCTCTACACGTTGAGGCACTCTGCCATTATTGCCGATATGACATTAGGCCGCTGATGGGCCACACAATGGGAGAGTACGCGCCGGATGAGCCACTGGCCCGGGATCTTGTGTTGCAAATGATTTGTCGGCCTACTTTTTCTATTTCCTGGTACAAATTGTGTGACAGAAAGCACGAGGAGGGCCAGGTTGTACCTGAACTATCTCCCTATGAGGTATAATCACATCTATATCTGGAAGACTCAACGGGAAGCTTTCGTTCGTTTATCGGCATTAGCGGTGCTTTCGCTCGACGATGGCATTGTGTGGCCATATTTCTCTTGGGATGTCGGAGGCTTTTTATTAATTGCCATAAATTGGACTTCTAAATCGATGTTAACCTATTGAATACTTATGTTGCTTTCTTTTTAATGGAACAAAAGGTGGAACAGTGACCACTCCAAAGTGAATGTATGATCAAAATGCCAGCAAGCTTACACCAGTACAATTAGGCTCAATGCTCGTTAAAGAAGCGTCCAGAAGAGGGGCAGATGAGCACAGCAGAAAGGTCACTCCTTCGTAGAGTGGCAGGCGCATGACAAAAAACATGGCCCATATAAAGTAGGGGTGTACTACCAAAGAAACTATCAGTATATACAAACCTATACTCTTCAGATCACATTTCTTCAATGATAATCGACTATAATAATAAAATAACAGTAACAGGCTGTACCTAATTTGAAAGAGCTTTTATATGGTTATTCTTATTTTATTCAGATACTTATTGTTTAGATCGTTATGTATGAATCGTGTATATGGGCCATGTTTTTTGTCACGCGCCTGAGTGGTTACCATATCTTATTAGGCAGTGAGTCTCAGTCCAGTAGTGCACCACCCGTCTTCATTAACAAGCCCAATCAAGCCAATGAGCGCTTTCACAAGACGGAGCAGACACTCGGTAACAAGTTCAAATCAGATCAAGGACCGGGCCAAGCCACCCTTTATGCAACATATGGTTGCAGATTAGGACATTAGGCTGTCCCACGTCCGGCTTACCGCATATTTTATACACTTGTTAAGATATTGGCATGACTACTGCCCGCTTATGAGATTGCCCCTTTCATCTGCAGGTCTCGTGTTCAATAGAATCTCCGTAGCCATATTTTCAAAAATCGGATCATGTTCATTAATACCTGGAATGTGTCTAGGATCGTTGCACTGTTGTGGCTGTGCGTCTTCTCACATTGAATCCGACGCCACATGTAGAACAATGGGAGAGATTTGGACGCTGATATAACCCTGGCTCTTAGTACACGAACGCACGTCCAGGTGTCACTCAGTCAGAGGCAGCGGGCCCATCGGATTGAGTGACTTGTAACTCAGGTACCTCTCAAGCGCGGCCAGGTAGGTGCTAATCAGGCGACAAGTACCGGGTACCTGCAGTATGGAGATATTGCTTGTTTGGTCTGTCCAAGGTCAGGTGTAATTTTGTATATCATGCCTTTGATGAGAACAAAGCCGCCGTAGATAACAGACTACATAGGGCGCTGGATTGCAAGATGACCAAGGGAGGGAGAAGAAAGCTACTTGAAGTCATCCTCCAGGTTGTTTAGCACCCTCCAAGAACTGGGGTATGGCAGGAACAAGGCGTCATGTACCGGCTCAGCTGTATCCGCTACTGCACGATAAGGCTGGCTGATCGGCCAGGGTACTTCTGGCTACTGCTGCCTGTGTACCAGCCCCAACGTTCCTACCCAAGCCTGCCGAGACCGCTGAACGTGACTGACTTCATTACCTGGACCCCCAAACGCCCCTCCCCCAACTTCCGTAGAGCATAATCGAAGCTCTTAGACGGCCATCCTTTCAGCTTCCATCTTTCCTTACATCGTCCTTGCGCTGCCTTGACCTATGCGTACTGAGCTCTGAGCCCTCTCCTTTCTTGTATACTCCCTGCTTCAATTAATAGCGCTCCAACAATCTTCCATTCTTTCCGACCATCTCCAAATATCTCGCCGCTTTGTCTTACCCCTACACTTATTCCCATTTCCTCCTCGCCACTCAACTCGTTCGTCCCGATCCGAACTTCGCAGACTTGCAATCAATACAACCTACTTAACGCCACTTTCACCTATCGCACACCTGGTTCTGCTTTTTCATTTCCAGCCAGCCCAACGCCCAAGGCAGCCGACCAAGAGATCAAGTCATTCTACCATACTGACTAATCCCATGAACCGCACCCGAGGCCCATCTCAATCAGCACTATTCGCCGTTTAAAGCGTCATAACGCGTCGGAACCCTACTATTCCTTTTCGATTCGTGCTTGACCGGATTTGCCGACATTATCAACCCTGGCGTCTCGAGCGATCCGTCTGGCGGGCCTCGCATTTGGCCTTGGTTTAGGTGCCCTCAGGGCCTATCAGAATAGTCAGGCATCACGGCCGATGGATTCGTCCAGGAGAGATTCCGGCCATCTCGATGCAGCTGGAGATCGAGAAGTCGTATTCTGTCACAACTGTTCCAACGAATGGTATCGGGATCAGCATGGCCTGGAGTGTCCCAGGTGTGACAGTGAAATCACAGAAATTGTTCGTCCAAGTTTGCGCTCATTGCTGTCTTCCTTCCTATCTCCGACCATATAACTAATTACTGTACTACAGATCAGCCTAGAGAACGACCCTCGAGACTTTGACCAATCTTCCGGTGCGACGTCGCCCGACCCCTCTGGCCCAGCACGCTATTATGAAGACTCAGATCCCGACGAAGCTGATATCGAGGATCATATGGAAGGAAATCATGGGTTTGCTTTCCACCGGAGCACCCGGCAGGGTCCGAATCGCGAACACCACAATCCAGAAATGGAGCCTGTAATCTCCCGGTTTTTCGATATGATAAACGGCTTCAGTAATGACGGACAATCGAATATTCATAATCGTGGTACCAGTCATCAACACCACCATCATCATCATCACCATCATCATGGAACAGATCATACTCACAACCACGATCATGAACCAGAAGTCGAACCCCAAGCCAACCCCGAACAAACTCATGCACGCCAATTTGCTTCAGCTCGTATTCACCGAACAACCTTTAGAAGTGGTCCGTTCGGGACTGCGAGTGTTACTATCTTCTCAGGTCCAGTCCGAGGCGTTGGCGGCAACCCCTCGATCGAGGGTAGAGGGGACCGAGACCCTTTCCAAGAGTACGTAATGGACATGCATTTTGTTCCTCAGCATCCGATAAAGGTCGGACAGTCGTATAAATACTAACAATCCGCTTATAGAATATTTGCCAATGTAATGCGAGACATAGGCCCCCCAGATGGCCGAGAACCAGATGGTCGACAACCGGATGTTCCTTCTCCTCAATTCCTTCGTGGTCTGCAGGACATTCTAGGACTCCTCAACCCCGCCAACGCAATGGCTGGTGATGCTGTCTATTCCCAAGAAGCTTTAGATCGCATCATCTCTCAACTGATGGAAGCAAACCCTCAGTCAAATGCAGCACCGCCCGCCTCGGAAGAAGCCCTGAACAAACTAGACCGGCGCTCCGTGGATAAAGAAATGCTGAGTCGAGATTCGAAAACTGAATGCTCGATCTGTATTGATGATCTCAAAGAAGGCGAAAAGGCTATTTTCCTACCTTGCAAACACTGGTTTCATGAAGATTGTGTAGTTCTGTGGTTGAAGGAACACAATACCTGTCCTATTTGCCGATCACCAATCGAGAAGAGTGAGCAGGGCAACGAGGCTGGCAACCGTGATAGGAGTGGCCCAACTCCACCGAGCGACAACAACTCATCCAACAATCCGGGTATTAGGAATCCCGAATTTGGTTTCGGATATCCAGGAGTCCACTCAGGAGAACCGTCGGGAATCGGACGTTGGCTGTTTGGAACAAGAGCAGACAGCGGTGCGAACCCTGGCGCAGGCTACACATCAGATGATCGTAGCCCCTCTCCGGCCATCTTCAGCGGTGCATCAACCCCTGCACAACCTACGCAAATTCCCCCTTCCCGACGGCCTATCCGTATACCTAGCAGTTCCGCACGCCTACATGATGCCTTCCGGTTCGTAGCAGAAAGAGACAGGGATAGGGAGAGTGATAATGAGCGGGACAGGATCAGAGACTACGGCACCTCATCCGGAATTAGTTATGACACCTCGCGGATGCAACGTCGAAATTCAATGTCGCCAACCAGCCCTAGAGGAGTTGGTATTGGTGAGCAGAGTACTCGGTTTAGACAGCGGAGCCCTTCTCAGAATACACGCGACTCCCGGCATTCTTCTACGAATGGTGGCCCTATCAGCTGGCTACGGGGACGGTTTTCGGGGGGAGGAAACGGGAACAGTCCGTCTCGTGATGAAAGACAATCCTAGGAGTAGAACTTCTTCTCCGTCACTAGGACGGTATGTCATTGCAGAGGTTCAGGCTGAAGCCGTATTTGTGAAGCAAACACACAGATATATTCGGCTGGCGTTGAAGGAATTCTTCTATTTGGAAAGATTATGGAATCTACTCCCAGGAGTGATAGATGCTCATCCCCATCCTTGACTCACTTTTTGCACCAGGCCCTCAAGCACACCTCGGTATTCATTCTTTCCACCTTTTCTTAGCCTAGACATTTACGATCTAGGCAAAATCCTGCGCTTGTCGCATTCCCTTTATGCCTTGATGGTATTCTATCGTGGCTTGTCGGCAATAATCTCTTTGGAAGACGTCATGACCCTTTATATCAGTAGCCAAGGATGGAGGAGTCTGGCTTAGGGTAAAATTGAATGTGGTTGTTATGGTATCCTTACGCAGCCCAAAAGATACCCAGTAAAATAAAGAATCAAGAACTCGGTTCTCCAGCTTTCACCAACGTTTCTACGTGAGGTCACCATCATGAAGCATGTCACTCGATACTGTGAATGGATATATAAAAAATGTCTCATAAGCGTATTCATCTATTAAAAACTAGGTAGCGAGAGGCCAGGGTGTAGTTCCCGATATGTCATTTCCAGAAATCTTTGCATCCATCCCATCGACGATATATAGGTATCTAGTGCATCCCCTCCTTGCGAAAAGTTTAATTGTAACGATTATGTTTTCCCCTGCATGTAGCCAAAGCCCCAAAACGAAGCCGGGAGACAGAAAAGAGAAGCCCAACAGTAATCCAGCTAATGAAAAAGAGAAAACAAACCATGCCCACCAATATTCAAGGGGAATCAGGAAGAACAAAAGAAAAAGCGAAGTAGGTATCTCGGATATAAACAAACAACTTGCGTATGAGCCCGTTTCGTCATGCCAACCGGCATGGCCTGCCTGAGAAAAGGGCGAGTGAGAAAAGACTGGCTAACAATTGATGTTTCGTTATGGCGTTCATCATAGCAGATACAAGATTGGCTTAATCCTGGAAGAATTTGACAACCTGCTGGAGGTCTCTCAGGCCCACACCATGCTTGGGATAGCAGATATAGACCTCCTCCCCGAGAGCACCAAACTTGCTGCGGAAATCAGCCTTGCGGCGGAGACCAAGATTCTCAACAATAGAGCGATATGTGCTGGCAAGGAACTTAGCACGAATGCCACCAAGATGCTCACCAGGAGTCAGCGTCTCAGATACTCCTACGCCGAAGGTGACCTGACCGGAGACGCTGGAGAGAACGAAGTTGATCAATACTTCGATAGCACCATTCACGGCACCTGGGAAATCAAGTGCCCACTTGACTTGCCAGCCGTGACGTGGAGCGAGCTTGTGTAAAACGACCAAACTCATGACCTTGCCGTCCTTTTCAGCGACGAAGTAACGACGATGTTCCTGATCGACCCACGGGCGAACCTCGGTCAGGTGCACTTGCTTCCCCTTGCGGGAGTTCTTCCATTCTTCAATCGCAGGTTCAACTTTCTTCATGAAGTCCGCATCATACTTGACTTCATGAATCTTGACACCCTCACGCTCGACTCGTCGGGCCTTGGGTCCCATGCTGCTCTGGTGCTTGTCGGCATCGACCCTCTGCTCCTCCGTACAGGACAGAGTCCTCCATCCCAGCTCTTGGGCCAGAATCTTCTGGATATCATAAGAGACCAGCATCCACATTGGTGTCAGATGAAGCTCATGCGTCACAAATTTGGCAAAGGCCAAAGTAACATCCTTATACTGAGTCCGATCACAGAGGGGATCGCCCGTGATCATGGCAAACTTTTCCTGTTTCACATATCCCACAGCAGCACCAGTGGGATGTCTCCATACCTCGAAACGGTCGTCAAGCCAAGAGGTGTTCGAAGCATCGCCATAGTTGGCAATAAGCTTCTCCAGGGGTGGCATTGTATCATTTGGATGGGGTTTGGTAGTGTCGGCTTCCGGGTGAGGCAATCCAGGTTTGCGCTCGGGCAACGACTTGGGGTCGCGATGGAAGAGGGAAGCGTATCGAACGTCACCCAATTCCAACATCCAACTAACAATACGTTCAAGGCCCAGACCAGCGCCAGCGTGTGGTGGTGCACCAAGGTCAAAACCAGCCAGATAGTCTTCCATACCATCCTCGGAAATCCCAGCTGCCAACATGTTGGTGCGTAGCTCATCGGGGTCGTGGATACGTTGGCCACCAGAGCAAATCTCTTGGCCACGGATGAAAATATCAAAAGACCGAGTCCAGTTGCGATCATCGGGGTCTCTGTGCGTGTAGAAGGGGCGAGCATTGGCCGGGAACTTGTCAAGGATGTAGTAATCAGTGCCGTACTTCTCCTTGACGAGTTGTCCAAGTCGAATCTCATCGGGGGTAGAGAGATCTTCCTCTTCGACGTCTCGTCCATCTTCTCGCAACATTCGAAGACCCTCCTTAAAATCGAGCACCAGGGTTTCTTCCAGCCATTTGAACTCGGTGCTGGGCCACCGCTTCTGCAACAGTTCGATTTCAGGGAGAGAGTACACTGCTTCAAATACTGCCTTGAGGAAGTCATCAAGAACCCAGATGACCTCGTGGTAATCCTCTTCGATAGCCATTTCAATGTCGAGGCCGGTGTACTCAGTCAGGTGACGATGGGTGTTGGAGTTTTCCGCTCTGAAGACAGGGCCAACCTCGAAAACACGACGGAAGTCAGCCGACACACACATCTGCTTAGCCAACTGTGGACTTTGGGCCAAGAAGGCATTTCTACCAAAGTAGTTGACCTTGAATACAGCGGCGCCGCTTTCAGTGGCAGCAGGCTGTAGTTTAGGGGTGTTGATTTCAACAAAACCCTTATTCTCCATGGTCTCTCGGAACACCCGAGTTACCAGAGAACGAACACGGAAAAGGACCTGGTTAGACGGGTGCCGCAAATCCAGAATGCGTGATGCCATGCGGTTACGCAGGCTCTCCGGGGGCTTGTAGTTGCTAAAGGGTGCGCTGGCGGCAGCATTCACAAGGTAGATGGAGTCGATGTCAACCTCTACGCCGGAGTGCGTGGCGGATCTGATAGGCTCCGGAGGTTCCTTGAGAACACCGTGAACTTGCACGAGGGATTCAGGGTTCAGCTTTTGAACCCACTTGACCATATCCATGTTTTCGCGAGACAGGACACCCTGAATAGAATGTGTTTGATCACGGAGGAGGAGGAAATCCAATGCCTTGGAGAGCTGGCGCTGGGTGTGAATGCGGGCACGGAAGTCAACCTCGGTACCAATCGGCAGCTTGTCGAGCTGCGAGATTGTGTTGAGCTCGTTGGGATGAACGAGTAACTCGGAACTAGCGCCTGTGCGTTGACTGTTGCGGCCACTATCCATACTAGACCTGGCCGACATTATGTCCAGGCTAGAGCGCGTAGAGCTTTTGATCTCAACACCGCTGTCATTCATCTTTGCAAGCAGTTTGCGGTGGTCCGCAGGAATAGTTGAGACACCAGCGCTGACTCGCTTGGGGTTGGAGCTGAGGTTGCTGGCGATGGTGGGCGATACCGGAGTGACGGGGGAGGTGGGAGAGGTCGGCGCACGGCTGGAAGTGGGATTCTCGTTGACCGTAGACGTCTCGATTAACGGGGATCGGACAGCAGGTGTTGTGTCGGTCGAGTCCTTTTTAATCGTTGAGGCGCTGTCGCTTTTGTTGCCATTGGTAGCTGCGCCTTCAAGGCTCGACCGACCACTGTTATCACTCGACTGGCCTTTCTCCTTTCTATTCTTGCTTCGAGAGCGATGTGGTAGCCCGAGGGCGGATACCACAGGGGCAAAGATCCCAGAGGCGCTGGGCATGTTGTATTCTCGGCTCGTCGGCCAGGGTTGTCAACAATGAATTTGCCCAGGTGGAAATGGTGGTGATGTCGAGTCAACTAATATCTCCCAGCTTGGCAGGGCAAATTCCAGGTCGCAAGGACGGGATCGACCGATGGTTGACCAGTTGGTGACGTATTGGAGATCGAAGGTCCAGGGTGTTATATGGACCCGATTCACTGGTACCTGGGCTAGGACAGGTGGTACAGAGAGAAGATGAGTGAGATGGAACAGCCTTGGTGGGCAGTGGCGCGGGAAGAGGGAGATTATTAAGAAGACAAAAAAAGGTGCAGAGGGGCCGGCCGGAAGGGTTTTCAGCACGGGCAATGGTTATAAGTCCGGGCAAGGAAGCGAAAGTCAGACAGCGAGAAGCTTTTAGGAGCGAATTTTGGTTGAACTAGCCCACGCTGCAAGGAGACGGATGGATGCTGAAAGAAATGGGGCCGGACTGCTCCAGGACTCCAACGTCAACGTTGCTGGTCTCAATTTGTAAGGCGCCTGGAACTCGGCCTAGGCACGCAGGTGCTAGAGATGGGAAGTGGCTGGGAGGGCCTGTTGAACGATGCCGATGCATCCACGCCAATCTACAGACGTCCCGTCTACATCTGGATACTTGCATCCCTACTGGGCGCCCGGGGAGTGGTGAGGTCATGGGCGGTTGCACAGACGTGCGGCAGTGACCCGGCAGTGGTTTCGGGCAGTGATCCCTGCCACTGCTCCCTGGCAGGCGCGGTGCATGGCAGGTACCCAGTACAAGGCCTCGGCACGCAGGTGTGGCCGCAGGAGCGACTTTCCGGCCGTTTCCACGGAAGGCGCCAATCGCATCGCTCGGACGTTGGAGGATTAAACAACCTTTTTCCCCTTTGTTCTTTCGTCTTCCGCATCTAGACCTCGTGGCCCGTTGAATGGCGACCAGAGGTGAGGGTTAAGGTACCGAGTTACCGAGACTGGACGCCACGCCCCTAGGCCATGGGCCCGTCTCTCGCCAGACATGTGTGATTCGCTGGTGGCTTGACAGCGGCTTTCGCTAGCACGAGGTAACCCCTCGCCTCATCGACATCGACGCAGAAAACCTGACTTGTGGTTTGGTCATAGATGCGCTCATCATTGCTATCGAAATTGGCTCGCGGAGCTCACCTCCGGCTGGTTTGCCAATCAGCCATCTTCAGCTGAGATGTCTGAGTTGTGCAAGGCAATTGCTTATGTCATGTACCGTACGAGCCGCCCTGACTTCACCCACAACAAGGTCTGCTGTAGCCACAGACGGGACAGGGGGGTGCTAGCCCAATGTGACGTCAACCACGGCCACCAAGATTCGGGGCGTTCGGGTCGTGCGGACTGCGACAGGTCCAAGAATCCCCGATTTCCTGAATCCTGTCCAGGTCCCTGGTCCGCTCGTCAATCATGCGAAAACTCGCAATCCGGCCGAGCTCCATGTGTCATGACAATAATAGTAACGCATGTGACTGTTCTTCAGCTGGGTGCCGTCCCCGTTGGGATCCGCCGCCATTGGAGTTTTTGAAAATTCTATCATGCTTAGGATACTCGCTGACCAAGACTTGAAAATATTTGTCACTACTAGTAAGCATAACCGATATCATGGATGGTTGAAAACGCCCGCTCTATCTCCACATACAATATCATAAAGTTTTGTAGCTCACCCTGGAGGCCGGCGCCATGGAGCGCTAACATGGCCTATAGAGATGACTGTGCTCTTATAAACCCAAGTTTCACTTCAAAATGTCGTAACTAGCGGAGAGCGTGATTTATTGGTGTCCTCGCTAAGATTCCATCAGCCCTATTCGAACCTTGCAGATCAATTGCATGTGGGCTGCTCGTATGTCGTCGTGCCTACTGCAGCATGCAACTGCGATATGAGATCAGGGTCCCTCCTTTGGTTTGCTTTTTTCCTTTTTGGGGATCTGCACCTAAAACCAGGCCTTTAGCCCTGTCGCTCGCTTCTAGCCTCCCCCAATTCTGCCCCCCAAAGCGCTGCAATGGAATTAAATCATTCACTGAGCCCGCCCAATACTTTGCCGTTTTATCCGCCTTCCCTCCTCTTCTCATTTCCTCCTTCTTAGCTTCGGGTCTCCCGCATCGGATTCTCGCCTTTTCCACGGGGTCCGACCGCCTTGGATGATTTAGACGGCAGCGATTATCACCTGCATCCAACCAGCCAATCCCCTCGCTCCCAGCGTTTCCGACCTGCAGCACCAACACTCACCCTAAACACCGTGTTTGCATGATTCTCACCTTTCATTCCTCCCTCTCTCCACTAGAGCTCGGTCTAGGGCCCCCTCCTTCTGCTTGAGCTACCCCACCTCTATCCTCTCCATCCGATTCCTCATCTTCTGATGGAGTTGGTGGAAGCAAGTAGTGTCGACAACCCGACTACCCCAGAGCCTCGGGATTATGTAAACCCTCTGGAGTCTAGTTCTCGGTGGTACCTTAATGCCCGAGCCCAGTTGATCAGATATGCCGCCAGCGTCGGCTTCAGCATTGCCAACAGGGCGGAACCTCCAGTGCCAGAGTTCACTCGGGAGATCTACCTGGATTCGACGTTATCCCTGCTAAGTGGCCCCAAGAAGATCAAGGCCGAGGTATGGATCCCGCCGAGAGTTTCCATCGGTCCTCGCCCGGCAGTAATCACATTCCACGGCGGCGGATGGATTCTCGGCCAAGGGACTGACAATGCCCGATGGGCAGGGGCCGTCATGAGCCAGCTCGACGCTGTCGTCTTCACCGTCAACTACAGGCTCGCGCCGAGCTTCCCTTTCCCCACGCCCATCGAGGACTGCGTGGATGCCGTGTGTCAGATAGCTCGACACGCTGGCGAATTCGGTATCGACCCAGACAAGATCATCATCTCGGGCTTCTCAGCTGGCGCTACCAACACCTTGGCAGCATGGTTGTGCCTTCAGGAACCCGAAAAGTTTGGTTACACGCTTCCATTCCACCCGTCGAGGATCGCTGGCCTTGTGCTCTTCTACCCCACCCTGGACTACACCATGTCACGACCTGAGAAGCGAGAGCAGTGTCCTAGGCCAGACCTCACTCTGCCTAAAAGTTTGACCGACCTCATCGATGCCTCATATGTGTATCCTCCAATCCCGCGGGAAAAACGATCGGACCCGAGGTTGTCTCCAGGTCTCATGTCTGACGAGCTGGTGAAGAAGCTGCCTCCTATACACCTTTGCGTATGTGAATACGACATGCTTCTTCTCGAGGGGATGAAATTCGCAAGTAGACTCAAAGATCATCACAAGCAATGCGAGTTGCGGGTCGTAAAGGGCGAGAAGCATGCCTGGGACGGCCCGCCTCCCATGGCCCCGAAAGAAAGCGTCAGTATCGAGTACGGAGCTGCAGTTCAGTCCATGGCTGACTGGCTGGGCGGCGACACGACGGACAAAGACTCGGTAAGGACTGTGCGGACGAAGAAGTCGAGGCTCGACCGGCCCACGGGCCTGTTAATACGTGCCGTGTCCGCTCTCGAGATTCGAAACACCGAGAAAAAGCTACAACGAGAGAGATCTTCTCAACTGCGACCATGATTAGACGGATGAGATGATTTGTATTACGACTTTTTTCCCGGATGGGCGTTGTTTTCTCGTCTCGTCTTGTTCACATTGTCAGCGTTGGCGTGATTGTCATTTCTATCATAGAGCGATCTAGAGTACACAGCAGATCACCATGAGAGCTTCTTACATACGTTCTGGATTTGTTTACATATTTTATTCTGAGCTTAAAACATAGAGCTCGATATATAATAAATGGGTTTCTAGCGGGGTTTAAAACATTGAGTTACTGGTTTGTAAACTAAGTAAGAACATCGTGCATAGTTAACTCCCATAATCATTGTCCAACAACAAGTTCGAACTTTTGATGAGAGAATACACAATGTTGGGCTTTTAACCGATTCAACATGACTACGTGCTTCTAGGGCTAAGGATCCCTTGGGCAACACACTAACTGTCGAGCACAAGTTACAGTCTTGTTATCTTTTACCATGATTCTTAATCTCTTAGAGACGGAATATCAAGTGGTATATTGGAGTGACTAATCCTAATTTAGTACCTTGATAAGAACTAATCTGCTGCCAGAATACGGCCAGCCCTGTTGGATTTTCTGTTTCGTTTTGATATGAACGCATCCATGTTGAGAAACTTAGATTATGGGGTTCCTCACACGGCACGCCCCCTTGCCATCGCATGTGTTAAACACGGCAAGATTTGCCACATATATTTACCGCAGCCTTTCCCCCAAGCCGCTGGGGTTTTACCACTTGGCCTCCTTGGAGTTGACAAACTCCTTGAGGATGCCGACGACCTTCTCCAGGGCGGCGAGGTAGGCGGCCATCTCCTCAGAGACCTTGGCCTGGTCGTCGCCGAGCTTGGGGTAGAAGTCTTTTCGGTACGGGCAGGCGCTCATGGCGGCGCTGAAGATGGGCTTGACGATGAAGCTGTGGTGAGGCTTGAGGGTGGAGCCGTAGGCGTTGCGGAAGGAGTCGGCGAGCTCCTCGGAGGGGTTGGCGACGTTGGCCTTGAGGCCGAGGCAGGTGAACTCGAGACCGCTGTGTCAAAGGAAGATGTGTTAACTGATGTGTTCCTGAAACGTGGCTAGAGGGAGGGCCACGAGGTATAGGTATAGGGGTTTCTATGATGGATACGCACCGGACGAGCCAGAGGAGACCCTCAGTGGCGACGTGCTTCTTGGTGGCAAGCTCGTTCTTTACGAGAGCTTGGATGGTCTCGGACTCGGCGGGGGCAGCAAGCTGGCGATCGCGGAGCTTCTGTAGAAAGGGGCGGGAGAGGTCAGTCGAATGTATTGCCATTGCTTCGGTGAGGGGCACGAACCTTGATGTTGCCTCCCAAGTCATTCTTGACGGGGGAGAAGGCTACAGAGCCGAGAACATCTAAAACCCCCAAGCGATTAGAGTGAAGTCCCAAGGGAGGAATTGCCACATCGAGAGCTTCAAATACCGA